GCTCCCGGGGACACGCCGGCCGGGCCCTGCTCTGGTCCCCTCGGACACGGGCAGGTGGGACTCCGGTCAGGACTGGTCAGAGCGGAGATGGTGCCCCTGGGCCGGCTCCTGTGCAGCCTCCACTCCCAAGGGGATCTTCCCCATTCATTCATTTTAGAGAGAGTGGAAGGGACGGGGAGAGGCAGAGAGAGAGAAACAGCGATGTGAGGGAGACACATCGATAGGTTGCCTCCCACACGCACCCCGACCAGGGCTGGGGAACCTGCAACCGAGGTACCAGCCCTTGACCAGAATCGAACCCGGGACCCTTCCGTCTGTGGGCCGGCGCCCTATCCACTGAGCCACACCGGCCAGGGCTGTGTGTCGTCTTTATCGTGACCATTAGCACCTGAACACGCGTCTGCCCAGCTTGGTTTCGCTCATCGCACATTTGAGGAATATTGATGGCGCCGGTTACGCCTCAGGTTGGGCGGGGGGCAGGGACGGAGGCGCACAGACGGGGGCGTGGCCTCTGCTCGGTCCCTTCGGCCACGGGTCCCTGAGGCAGCCACCTGCCCATGGGTCCCCGACGGGTCCCGGGGCCAGGAACTCACCTCCATCCCCGCTCGGCACAGCCTTCTTCAAAGTCCCACAGCATTTTGTCTGAATTTTGGGGGTGTACAACCTCAAGGGAAAACACACAAAAGCCCAGGCGTTAGCAGGATGTCTTTCTCATCCCGGCAGCGTAAGCGCCTACGGCAACATCTGCAGGACTGGCCACACCTGCCCCGTGGGCCCGCCTCCGCAGCGCCCCCTGTCTGCTGACCCGACCGACTGCGCCCCGTCCGATGTTCCATCCAACACGACTAGTAATTAATTCCCCTTTGCTGTGTGCTGGGGGGGGCGGGGGGGGGCTCCCCCAGGAGGGGTTGAAGCTACGTGTGGCTGCCTGGAGGGCCCCTCTGTCGCTGAGACTAAAACAACGCCTGGCACATAGTAGGTGCTCAGTACATGTCTAAGGGAGAGAAGGCTCGGGCACTTCCTGGAAGTTAAGGCTTCTGTTCGGGGCTCTGCACTCCCCAGTCTCAACGTGTCCAAAACCGGAACTCGGACCCCCCCCCCGCCCCCCGGACCCAGCCCCGAGCTCCCGCCAGGCTTCCTGTCTCGGGAAAGGGCCCCGAGCCCCCGTGCCGCCCGCAGACGGAGCGCTGGCCGTGCGATCCGCGCCTCGATGCGGTAACAGTACCCCGAGTTCATCCATCTCTCTTTACATTTCTACAGCTTTTTATTGATTTTTTTTTTTAGAGAGAAAAGGAAAGGGAGAAAGAAACATCAATATCGATTGGCTGCCCCCTGCCCGCCCCACACTGGGAATAGAGCTCACCCGGGCATGTGCCCTGACGGGGAATCGAACCCTGACCTCCTGGTTCATAGGTCGATGCTTAACCACTGAGCCACACCAGCCGGGCTCATCCATCTCTCTTTGCTCTGTTGCTCTGACCTTAGTCTGAGCTACCATCACCTCCCCCCATCGCTGCAGGTCTCCAGCTCCCTCCTCCCCCCGAGGCCCGTGCCCTCTGAGGCACCGTGCTACACAGCCCACACTGCACAGCCCACACTGCACAGCCCGCACTGCACAGCCCGCACTGCACACCCCGCACTGCACACCCCGCACTGCGCACCCCGCACTGCGCATCCCGCACTGCACAGCCCACACTGAGCAGCCCACACTGCGCACCCTGCACTGCACAGCCCACACTGAGCACCCCGCACTGCACACCCCGCACTGAGGCTTGGGCCTGTCCCGAATGCGAGCCTGGCCTTGCCTCTCTCCTCTGAGTCCTTCCCGCTCACCCAATGCCCTCAGCCTGGCCAGGGGGCTCCTGCGGTCTCCGTGGCCTCGCCCCCCAAACCCGCCCCATCCTTCTCACAGCCTGACCTCTCTGGACGCGGCCCCCTCTGCCCTGAGGGCTCTCTCCTGGCCTCTGCACCCGGCACGGCACGCTCCTGTGCCTGCCCGGTGAGCCAAGGGGTGTTTTCTCGGGGAGGCTGGGCCAGTGCCCTCCCCGTGCCCACCCCGGCAGCACCCCCATCCTGCACAGAGTCTCGGGGCTGCCATCCTCCTCACGCAGACACTCCGCACCACGCCTGTCCCACAGGCAGAGCCCCTGGCCCAGCCCCGTGGATGGTGGCAAACACCCGTCAGGGATCGACGATGCGCAGACAGAAGATGATTTCCGTAAACACGACCCCCTGCCTGCTGAGCGGGAGGAAGCAGACTGAGTCGCATGCCCACGGCCCGGAGACGGCGCCCGGGAAGCGGGCAGCCCAGGGGCACTCGGCCACCACATCTGTGGGCGCCACCTTAGCCATGCTGTTCTCCACGACGCCGGGAACCCTGGGGGCCCCGTGCGTGGAGGGGGCTCAGGTGCCGGAACCCTTGTCCAGATCACGACCGAACACGCGTGGCCCTTTCCCCGCGGGAGGCTGGCTCCCCGTGACGCGGCCCCGGAGGCAGGAGGGGCTCAGCTGTTTATGCGACGGGAGCCCTGGGTCTGACCCCTCGCTGGCTCGGCCACACGTCTGGGCAGAGCTGCCAAGGTCAGGGGTTCAGGCCCGGACCTCAAAACGGAGCCACAGGCTTTGGAAATGATGGGCGATGCCCATGAGCTCAGCCGCCCTGGAAAACACCACCGTCGTCGCGGGCGGAGAAATGCCAGACGGCGGGCCTTGTGGCCTTGCCTGGGGCCCTGGCTGCCGGCCCAGATGCACCGTGCGGGGGCGGGCTCTGCGGTTTCCAGGCCGGGCTCCTCCTAGGCCAGTGATGGCGAACCTATGACACGCGTGTCAGAGGTGACACGCGAACTCATTTTTTTGGTTGATTTTTCTTTGTTAAATGGCATTTAAATATATAAAATAAATATCAAAAATATAAGTCTTTGTTTTACTATGGTTGCAAATATCAAAAAATTTCTATATGTGACACGGCACCAGAGTTAAGCTAGGGTTTTTCAAAATGCTGACACGCCGAGCTCCAAAGGTTCGCCGTCACTGCCCTAGGTCTAGGCCGACGGGAGCGTTAGTGGGACAGACGGCACCTGTGAGCCGTCCTCGCTGCCTGAGACCATGTGGTGTGTGGGCCGCTGTGAGGCTGGGGCTAGTCCCTCATCGACCCGGGATTCACTCCGATGCGTCCAGGAGGCCCCTGTGTGGGGCGTCGCAGCGGGACTGGCAGTGGGTGCAGATGGGCATCTGGCCCCGAGCTCAGCAGACGGAGCAGCGGCTCCTCGAGGCGGGTGCTGCCCAGGGGCACAGCCAGGCGGGG